TTTTTTTTTTTTTTTTTTTGGCAATGCTGGAGATTAAACACAGGGCCTTGTGCATGCGAGATAAGCTCTCTACAACTGAGCTACCCCCCCCAGCTCATCCTTCTTTGGAGGAGATACAATGAACTGCATGCTTGAACCCATTCTCAACTACTGCCATTTCCAGGAAAGCCCCGCCCCCATTCCTTAGCTTAGCAGTCAAAAGACACCAGTGCTATATTCAGACTGCCGGTGCATGGCACAGGCACTCAGAAATATTATCCATCTTCTTTTTCTTCATTTTGCCCCAATGCCAGACCTGAAACTGCCGTAGCTAGAGGTCTTCCTTACCCCTACCTTTCCTTCCATTGATAATCCAGTTCAGACCTCAGTACCTGCCTTGGTTCTCACCTGAACGTGAAGGCTGTGTCCGGATGTTCTTTTGATTGTTCTCGTTCGTCTCCTCCGGTGGAGGTTTGAGGTTTCCACAGCAGAAGCAGCAGCAGCAGCAGCAGCAGCAGCAAGTGAGCAGCAAGCACAGGAGGACGAGGGTCTACAAGGTAGCAGAGAGGCCTCGGAGCAGCCGTTTTTCTGTATTTCCATTCAAGCTCCTTCCCTCTCTCCTCCTCACACCCAGAGAACCTGTCCTAGGAGAGGAGGGTCACCCGCCTTCCTTATTCTTAAGGGACTAGGAAGAGCTGTGTACCTTGAACCAGCAACTATTGACTATAAAATAGTATCGGACTCCATCTTCGCCAAAGTGATCATAAAGGTATATTCCAAATGAGCCGTGTTGGTCATAGATTTTCCGCTTCTTAGGGTCACTCAGTATAGCATGGGCTGTATTGATTTCTTTGAAGATTTCTGCAGCTTGAGGGTTCCCTGGATTCTTGTCCGGATGATACTGCAAGGCCAGTTTCCTACCCAAAAGGAGGATGGGAAGGGGTGGGAGATGGCTGGGGAAGGAGTGAGGATAAGTGGAGGGGCAGGTCTCTAGAGAGAGCAGAAGAAGGCATGAGACGTGGTACAAAGGGTGAAGGAAGCAGCCAAGATCTAACTTTCTTCCCATGCCAGCTTAAAGAGGGTGATGGCCTCTTTCCGTGCTAAATAAAGGCTTCTTGAGTTTTAAACATAGGTCTGAAAGCAAAATAGAAAGAAAAGGGCTTAAAAGGGAAAGTCTAGAGTTCCATTAAGGGCCAGGGTCTGAACCTGTAGGACTTCTTGATGTCTTCAGGTGAGGCACCCTTCTTAAGCTCTAGCACTGCATAGAGGGCTGTCCCACTTTTGGACAGCCGGCGGGCTGCTTCGTCCACATGAGACATGTTCTGGGCCGAAAGGACAAGAAAAACATGGCAGTGAGTAGGTACAAGGACTGGCAGGATACATGTGACCAGAGAAGCATTGGAGTTCAAATTTTGTTTGTTTGGTACAGGGGATTGAACTCAGGACCTTGAGCTTGCGCTTGCAAGGCAGGTGGAGGCACCACTGAGCTAACTCCCCATCTTTCAATTAAAAAAAAAATTTTTTTGTGGGGGGAGTCAAGTTCAAATTTTAAAGAGGAAACGTCTTGCCCTCCCATTTCCCAGCATCCTCCAGCTGCCCAGACCTTCAGTCACACCCATGCCTACAGAGGCCTAAATCATAGAGGTTGAAGTCATGCAAAAGCCTGATTTTATCCAGGTTTCCTACATAAGTATACAATCCTACTCCTGCCCCTGCTTAGGGTTAGGTTTGAAAAAGCTGGGCATCCCCAGCCCCCTAAACGGTTGGGTGAGGAATGGGGAAAAGCCACAATGGCCAGGGAAGAAACAATTCCGACCGTACCATGCACCGCCTAAGGAAGTCAGGTCCAGAAGCCAGGCAGAGGCAAGGGACGGCCAGGGACTTGCTCTTCCTTCCCCACCCACCAGCTCCCAAACAATCCGACCTCTGGCCCTCGGAGATGGGGCAGCTGGGACAGCAGAGGCTGCCTCGGCCCTGAAGGGGGCTGGGGACGCTGCGGGGTAGCGATGGGGAGCAGCCTAGGGATCCGAGAGTACAACCGGAGAGCACCAGGCAGAAGCCCGGGAGGCAGGCGGCCAGGAGGACCAGGGCAATGGGCTGGGAAAGAAGGCGCTCCTCGAGCCCTGGGGCCTCAGTCCTGTTCCGACTGGGCTACTAGAGCCTGCCCTTTACCTCCGAATCAGTCTCTTAAGCCAGGTAACCCTCATATACCTTTCATCCTCCTTGGGTGTGAAACTTCACACCGCCAGTTCAGCAGGCCGATTGCGCTTGCGCGCTGCTGCGTAGTAAACACTGCGGGTCCTTTTTTGCGCGCGGGCAGGGACGCCGGGAAGCCACGTTGGCCCTGGGACCTATTTGGCTCCAGGGGAAGCATGAGCCGCAGCAGGTCCAGGGCTGAGCGTTGCTGGACTGCAACAGCGGTCCTGATCACTCTCAGGGCTCTTCAACTCAATTATGGAAAGACAACAGGCCTGCCCACGTAGCTGCTGAGAGGTATGGCTGCGGCGTGCTTTCTCCAGCCATATTACTTTCCTAGTCTTCTTCAGAATTTAGAGCTTTCTACTTCGCCCTTTCTTTCCCTACACCTGGAAACTCCTCCCGAGGCTTTGAGATTCAGTCAGTGTCGGTGTTCCCGAGGCTCCTTCCTTTTTCCCCTGTCCCCACCCTCTGTGCTCCCACCGTGTCATGTGACCTGTTGTAGTGCAAGGATTCATGGGCGTATCCTCTTATTTTTTTACTTTTTAAATTTCATTTTATTTGGCATATACTTTTAAATGATATCTAGAGACTTTCCAGAAGTCATTACTGGGGTTCAGAAACTTCATTCAAATACTATCCCATGGCGAGGGTGGTACCAGGATGTGATTGTATAATCCAGGTTGGATATTTACATTGTTTCTAACTATTGAAAGTATATACCCTTGTAGTGAAAATTGTTAGACATAAATCCTGGAACAAATCTCTTTTAAAATTTTATTTAAGACAAGGTCTCCCTGTGTAGTTCAGAATTGCCTCTAACTCATGGCAATCCTCTTGGTTCAGCCTCCTGAGTGCTGGGATCACAGGTGTGTGCCACCATGCCCGGCCAAATCTCTGATTTTTGTCTTCTTGGAAGTGGAGCTATTGTGTTAAATTGTGTATTGTGGAAGCTATTACTAGGCTTCTTCCCAGACAGGTCCCAAAAGTACCATTGTGTACCCCCACTTCAAGGGGCATCGGAGCCTGGCCGTATGGCCTGTGTTTGTGGTATATGTTTCCTTTACAGAGGAATGTTCAATGGCTCCTGTAACATGTAATTGAAATGGCTGTATTACTTCGATACTTGTCTGTTACCCCTCTTGTGGCTTTTAATCACACTCCTGTATTAGAGGCACATTTACCTCATGTCCTAGGTTTTAGGTGGCAAGTTGTCCTCCACCCCAAGAGATCCCAGCTGTCTAAGCAAACGGAGTCCACAATCAACAGGTATAATGATCCTATAGATCTGTGATCAGTGCAGGAGGAGGGATGAAAATCTTTGTTTTCAGCCCCTCTCTCTGTAGGCTCTGGGGTCAGCTCAGTTTCAGGGTTCCTTGCCTAAAGAGGAGCTGAAGCTGACCCTTCTTTGATGGCTTGTTCTCTGCCAGATTTCTCTGACTAACCTGCAGCCTTTCATCAGCATCCTGGAATAACAGGGCTAGCAGAAAAGCCAGCTCATTTTTTCACTGCGCTGGGAAAAGAGAACAGGTGTCAGAAGTGTAGGGCACTTAAAGCTGATTCCTTACCTCGGTCTCCAGGGCCTGGTGTAGTCCTGCCCCTGTCTCTCACTCCAGAGTGGTTCTGGGTTCTGCCTCAACATGTTCCCTCCCTCCTCAAGGGCCTTTGATGATATTGTTCCCCCACCTGGCAGGCCCCCAGGTGAGTACGGTGGCTGACTCATCCTTTAAGGGTCTCAGCTTTGGGCCTCCCCTGCTCTCTTTCCGCCACCTGACACTGTCACTATCATTTATGAATATATATCATCTGTGTTGATTTGTTTGAGGTCTGCTTTTCCCGGTTGACAGTGAGCTCTGTGAGGGCAGGGACCGTGTTTGTTCATCTCTGTACCCTCCATGCCTAGAACTGTACCTGGCTACAGTAAGTGAAGTCATGATTTGCTGAGTGCACTATAGACAAGGTAACCCTCTGCCAGTGGAATATAAGCCTGAAGGTTAGCGCATAACAAAAATTCTCTGGGAACGGAGCTGGGAAATTGGATAGAACAGGGCCCATCTCCCCTTCTAGGATCCTAGACAAGAAGAGGCAAAAATAGAGAAAGAAGATAACAGAGATAAAATATGTAATGTGACTCTGAGCTCACTCCTTATTTCTTTGTCTTAGCCTTCCTCCAGGCCCCAGCATAGTTCCTGGGATCTTGTTGGTGCTCAATAAATACTAAAATGAAATGGTTGAGTGAAAGAGAAAACCTGTGTGTGCCTTTTCAGAGGCACTTTCACCTGATGATCTTGGATTCTGAAGACAGCCCTGGGAGATGGTATGGTCCCATCTGTGAGCCCTGGGAAAGCATTAGTAAGCATCTTTCACATCTTACCAGAGGCTCCTGAATGTCCTTACTTCTTCTTCTTGCCCCTGACATTCCAGCTCATCACACTTCATGGCTTCTGAAGTAGCCTTTAACTTTAAGCCTTGTGAGGCTCTGCTCCGAACGAGAGGAAGCTGCAGCCTGTCCACTGCTGAGTGGGAACAGGGCAGACAAGCCCAGCTGCACGCTGTGGACAGAGGCTTCCATGCTGCCTCCTTCTAGAATCACAGCCCCTTGGTTTTTCACGCATAGGCCTTCACCCCACACCTGTCACAGCAGAGGGACGAGCACACGGGCCAGGCACCAGAAGCCCGGGATTCAGTTCTTGCTCTAACTCTAACAAGCTCTATAATTTTGCTTAAACCACTTCATCTGAGTCTCTTTGTTTCTTTTCTGTGAAGACCTGTGTAATCTCACAGGGTTAATGTCAAGATTTAATTCAACTTGGTTGTAGAGGAGAATAGAAAAAACAAAATGTGCCAGTGGACAATTACACATTAAAACCTTTTCTGGAACCACTTGCCTTCCCACCATGGCTTGAGTCAGCTATCTTAGGATTTACTGCCTCCAGAGTCCCCAGGTCTTTCCTGAAGAAACTGTGAAGCATCCTGTGTTTACTCACAAACAGAGTCAGAGACATATATCTGGATCACCACACATACAGGCAGCAAACACTGGCACATTCATACCTAAAATACCACACTCTGGGACATATGCAGCAGGAGAGAGAGATCATAATTTGTCACACCCAGGAATCACGTTCTAGAGTTGTACAGTTTTTGAGCTGGAAAGGACCTCAAGCGATGTAACTCCAATCCAGTGTCTTCGTTCATAACTGAGGCATATGCAGCCAAGAGAGAAAGATGGAACTGCTCAAGGTCACCCAGTGAGGTCCACTGAACTCCCAGTGAATTCAGTCTCTCCACTGTTCCCCCAGTGTTTTTTTTTACTTATTTGTTTATTTTTGAGACAGGGTCTCACTATGTAGTTCAGGCTGGCCTTGACGTCACTGTGTAGCCCAGGGTAGCCTGAAACTCAAAGTGTTCCTCTTTCCTCAGCCTCTGGAGTACTGGAATTACAGGTGTGCACCACTATGCCCAGCTCTCCTAGATTTAAAATCTAGGTCTAGAGACGGATCAAGGCCTTGGATGACATTCATGTCCTCTAATTGGGTGGTGTCACGTGATGCCCTTCCTTTCCTATCCCCACCAGAAGGCATGTGATCAGAAACCCCACAGCCAGGTTTTGTCTGTCTGTTCTCTCCAGGCTAGACATGGGGGGCCACTTCTATCTAGGGAGGCTCCTCTCTGCCCTGCCACCCCAGGCACTGTACTCCCGTCTCAGCAGTAAGCTGGACATAACAGCACCTGCCTCTTCAGGTTGTCATAAAGACTAAGTTTTTTTTTGTTGTTGTTGTTGAGGGTAACTGGGCATCAGACTCAGGACCTTGCCCTTGCAAGGCAGGCAGTGGCATGACTGAGGTAAATCCCCAACCAGGACTAAGTTCTTAATGTGAACATACCCTAGCACATGGTGTGCTTTGTAATTATCACTGACTATTCTTCTTCTTTTTATTATTATTATTATTATTATTGTTATTTGTTCTGTCCTGTCTTTCAATTTTTTTTTTTTTTTTTTTTTTTTTTTTTTT